CCATTTGTTAATGAAACAATTGTTCGTGAAGTGATTGTTGACAAAATGAATCAAACCCACATTAAATGTTTTATTTTAAATTCACGATTTTAATTGATCAATCAATCAACGGTCTCTCCTGTAATAACGTTGTATATATAATAATAACGACAATTATTTCATGTGGCCGAATGTAGAAGGTTGAGTTTCGTGCGCTGAAATGGCCTGAGAGGAATTTCTCTACGAAAAAAATAACCAAAAAAAAGTTTGGACGGCTGTCCTATTCATATGTTTCGAATTTAATAAAATAGACTATTGTCTTGGCCCGAGTGATGTCATTTTTTTTGCTCTTTGCGATGAAGATGACGCAAAACCCAACTTATTTGAATTTTTATTCGCGCGTAGCACGGTATGCGTGTTTTGTAACACGAAAAGCAAAAGCTCACATTGCGTTCTCAGTTGTAACCTTGTTCAAATTGTACAAAATAATTTGATTAGGCATATTGTGAAGTGCCAATGTCTAACTGTCAACAATGTTAGCTGAACAAAAATAGAATAGGGGATTAAAAGGTTTCTCCCAATATTAATATCTTAGATGACTATATTAAGCAACAGTGTGGTACATCATATGCTCGATACTTGTAATAGTTAGTAGTTAGTACGTTGCATTATATGAATTTCGTCCTACCAATCATGTGGCAAAATCTGTTATTATTTAAAATTTCTTATTTCACAAAGAAAGTATCAACAACCCTTTTTAAAAAATAATCACTTTTATAACAGGTTTAATAGATTAGCTTGAATACTTCTTTAGAAAGCACCAAAAAACCAACACCAATCAATTGAAATTTTTATTAGCAATCAATTTTGTTAGAACATTTGTTATTCAAATTGTTAATTATTGGAAAGAAATTGCTTTAATATATTATCATTTTAGATTTTTTCTAACAATTAACGAACTTGTTGGTAATATTATGCGTGAAAAACCATCTTTATACTAAACTTATTTTAGAATATTGAATTGAATGAAAGTAGATATAAATTACAAATTTTGAATACGCAAATAAAAGAAAAAGAAAATTTATCAAGGTACTGATAAAATACGAATAGTATTTGTATTTCCGAGGCCTTTTTGTTTATTATTGATTTTTTTTTGAAAATAAAATATTAGAAAATTTATTAAAAAAAATTTTAGGAAAGAAAAAAAAAAGGAAATCATATTTACCTCCTTTCCAACCTTGAATTGCGATAACATAGTCACCTTTTTTTATTAAACTGTTTATATGTGGAGGGGAAAAGAAATATAAAATCTAAATAAAAAAATTGGATTTAAAAAAAATAAGGATAAAAGGATCAAAAACCTACTCAAGTTCAACAGCTTTTTTTATTCCCCATAAAATTCTATTTTCTACATCTTCTTGCCAATTATAACCATCAATGGTAGTCGGAGAGTGGTAAATGAAAGGGTAACAACCTCTATAAAGATGAATTTGTCTTGCAGTTCTTTCATTTCTGGTCACTGTAAGAATAGGACATCTAGGCCTATATTTGGAAATGAGTCTAGCTGTGTTTCCTGATGTAGATAATACAAGTATACAACCAGCATGCTGCTCATGTGCTGCTGATACTGCCGCTGAAGCTACTGTTTCTGTAGTTTGAGTTGGCAGAGGTGTTAGTGCACGTAGCTCATTAAAAAGCGGTGGATAACATATCACTGATTCAGCCATAACACATGTTTCAGCCATCATTTTTACTAAGTTAATTAAAAAAAATTATTATTTATATGTACGATTCATGATAATAATAATTTTTATAAAAATACAAAAACTAAAGAATATCTATAATATAACACCTGCTTCTATCGGATAAGACCCTTTAGCAGTCTCGCCAGATAACATCACACAATCTGCACCATCTAGTACAGCATTAGCAACATCACTAACCTCTGCACGCGTTGGCCTTGGATTATACTACATTATATTTAATGTATCCAAAATTTTTATGAATAAAATATAATATTCACTACATATAATAAAAATCAATTAACAAAAAAATTTCTTACTGTCATTGATTCAAGCATTTGCGTAGCACTAAAAAAAATTTTTTTTTTAAATTTCAGTTCACTTGGTGAAAAATAATATATTATTATTTGCTTACCAAATAACAGGCTTTCCAGCAATATTACATTTTGTTATCATCATTTTTTGCGCAACAAATACATGTGAAGGAGGTATTTCTATGCCAAGATCACCACGAGCAACCATGATTCCATCTGCTTCTTTAAGAATCTCATCAAAATTATTAACACCTTGTTGACTTTCAATCTTGGCAATAACCTTAATATCAGCTCCTTCCTTTCCCAAAATATTTCTAATCTCGATAATATCTTTAGCACATCGAATAAAAGATGCAAATATCATATCTATATCATTTTTTACCCCAAAAATTAAATCACTTTTATCTTTTTCTGAAACAGCTGGCAAGTCTACATTTGTGTCTGGAAGATTTACACCTTTCTTGCTAGAAAGGTTTCCATTATTGACTGCACGAACTTTAACATGATCATCATGAACTTCAAGAACTTTAAATGATAAAACTCCATCATCTACGTAAATAAGTTTATCTACTTCAATAACTTTAGCAAGATTCTTGTAATCAATGTACATCACATCTGAATTGGAGCATTCTGCATATTTTTCGTCTGTGCTAAAAATCATTTCATGGCCTGCCTTGATTGGAAACTATTCGGTATTGCAAATATTTATTATGGTGAGTTCGCAAGATTAAAAATAAATTTTTTTAAAAAAAAAATTATACCTCTGCATTATTACTCATAATGCCAGTTCTGATTTCTGGCCCTTTCTATTAAATAAAATATATTAATTATGATTGGAAAACTTGCAAAAAATAATATTTGTAAAAAATAACTTACTGTGTCTAGAGCAAGAGAAATAGGTCGTCTAGAAAATACTACACAAAAAATAAATTAATTTTGCATTTTACATAAAAATATTCATACGTCTTTTAAAATAATACTTTACATTTGTAAGCTTCACGCGTATTTTTCATTACTGATCCATGATACTAATCATAATAATCATTATTAATTATACACTAAACAAACAAATTCATATTTTTAACAATATAAATTTATTTTCACCTCATGAGAACCATGCGAAAAATTCATTCTAACAATATTCATACCAGCCTTCAGTAAGTCAGTTAACATTGTAACATTATTGGTATTTGGACCTTTGGAGAAATAATAATAGCTATTATCATTATTATTATTATTAAATTTGACAATTGTGTTTAATAATACGCCCTTCTATAATATTTGCATTACTTACCTATGGTGCAAATGATAGAAGTTTTACGATTATTTTTTGCTGGTTTATTAACTTTTAAAGAAGATATCCATTCTAAATTAGTTTTAATATAATCTTTTGACATTTTTGAATTGCTTTTCGAGGCCTTTAAAAGTGTATGATGGGAATTTTAGTAAAACATATACTAATACATGTATTTACTTGTTTCTTGTTTTGGTTAGATCGGTCTGTTAATCTATATATTGGTGCTTTTCAACTGATTATCTGATGTCACTTGAAAATTATAATAAATATATGGTAATCAGAATTTGATATCCGAATTTTTCTTCTGCATTGTCCTATTTTTCCATGCTATTCCGGATCTTCTTTGCTGTTGTCTAAAAAGAGAGCACCCCCAAAAAAAAGTTTTTACAGCCCAGGTTCTTACGATGTATATTTTCAATTAAAAACAAATTGCGACCGAATTACATATAATCCTTCCCAATAGCCTCGAGGGTGCTATGAAAATGAACTTTGAGATAAATTAATATGGTCTATAGATCAAAATTCGAGCATTGTCCTTACTGTTTTTGTAAAATCTTTTAAAGCTTTGCCGATTATGAAAATAGCGATCAAAAATGGGTCAGCTTTTTATTTTTTAATATTAAATAAAATTTCATCGATTTCGTTATTACATCCATTTTATTGTGCGATTATCAAAAGGTTTAACAAAAGTTCATCATTGCAAGTAGGGCTGGGCTGTCTACTTGTAATCTTACCACAAACAGAACAAACAAGACTTACAAGGTAAGCATTTACAGTATAATCTGCATCCAAGATGCTTGCTAGCTTTTTACAATTTCAACAATTATTATGGATATAAGGGCAAATATATGGTGCATATACGAGAGAGGATTGAATTTCACAAGGTGCAACCGTTTTATTATGGCAAACTTATTTTTAATCAAAAGATCAAATATTATAGTAAAAGTAATTTGCGAGTCGTGTAAATGCAAAATAAATAGTACAAATGGCAAACGAGTTTCGTATGGAGTTATGAATTTTTGAGTATTTTGTGGAAACGGAAATTTATGTGATCTATGTTTTGTCCCAACGTTTTTGGCAGATGGGAATATTAATATATTAATATCATAATCTGTTCAAAAGCATCCTGTTAAAAATATATATTCTTTTCAAAACTAAATTTTTTTGAACGTTAGATCAATTTATTGAGGACGGCCAATGTCAATTTTATAAAAATTTAGCTACTTTGGCCGTTTGGCTGGCCAAATGCTAATATCAATTAGTTAGATGCGTTAAAAGAAAGATATATTGATATTATAACATTATTAAAAAAAATATATATGAGAAGAATATAACTTATAAAAAATTAATTATTAAATTTTTAACCTTGTCCAACAAAGTTTGCAACAATTGATCAGTATGATTTCAAGTGTGTCTTCAATTTGTTTAAATCTTGAATCAAAATCATTTTCTGTTTTTTTAGACATTTCAGCAAGTTTATCTTCGATTTGTTGAAATCTTGAAGCAAACCTTTTTTCTGTTTTTTTTTCAGACACTCCAGCAAGTTGTCTAAGCTTATCAGAAATATATGGGAGATCTTCTTCATCCTCATTGCTATCATCTATTTCTTTAATTTTTTTATGAATATCAGCAATTGGTGCATCACAGTGTCTAACAAAGAAAAAATTTTTTTTTTAAATAATTATTAAAAGGAATTTACTAAAATGACTTTATTGATTATTATTATACTTACAATATATGTGGAAACCAGTTTCTCCAACGATGTTGATTAGGAAGTAAATAAAATAATTCAATTTCTGTGATAATTTTTGCTTTTTGAGCCAAGAATGCTTCTTTTGTATTATAATTTTCAATCTCATTGCTAAACAAACCAATGAATAGATTCATTAGGTATACCACAACTATGAATGAAAATGCAACAAACAATACTGTAAGGTATGCATTATCTAGCAATGACCAAGCTCCAAATGCTCCACTATCTCCTAATAAAAAAATCAATCAAATTAAATTATTTAACTTGGTTATTATTTCAATGAAAAGTAATTTTATTACCTGTGAGGAAGTTAAACATTGCCAGAGTTGAGGAAGGAAATTGTGCAAATATATTTGTATTGTCACCAGGTAGCTGAACAAGAAATGGATCTTGATTATATGAATTGTTGTTTGCAAAATATGTATAATATGTATTAACAAGGTTACAAGGATTGTTGGGATCATCATTGAAATCAGGGTTGTCTGATGCAACATCTTGACTTGGTTTCAACAATAAAAAAAGTGCATGTGAAAGCTTCAAATGATTATTATTATTATAATTAAGAATCAAAAGACTTTTTTAGCAACTCCTATAATAATGGCAAAATATACTCTAAAATGTTTAAAAACAACATTAATCTTAAATCTAGTAATAAATTTGATGCAGAAACCAGTTGAACAGATGGTGGAATATTATAATGCAACCATAGAATTGAAGTAACAATTGCTGAGGAATAGGCACCTAGGTCTATTAATAATTAACATAATAATATTATTATTAAAAATTAATTAATTAATAATTAATATGATAATATTATTAATAATTAATTATAATAACAAAGTAACACCATAACAACAGAATTCCAGAGATCTGTGATATATTTTATTGGTTTCCAGATAAATTGTCTAACTTTTATTGTGAGATGAATTCTTCCAAGGATAATTGTTGTTATTAACAATGAATTTCTATCATTATCAGATAACTGATCTGGTGAAGTGGAAGTTGCAATAGCAAAACTTCATAAAAATACTATATAAAAAATCAATATTCCAATATAATACCTGAATCCAAAAGTGTTCCATTTATGATCTAAAATTAATTTACTACTCAAATGCTCATAGTATCCAATTCAACTAATTCAACAAATATACTATTATCTGGCTTATATAGTAATTCTTTCAATAGTGAATATTTGGGTTTGTATGTAAGTAAACCAGGATATGGAATTATCAATTTTACACAAGGTTTAGTATTGCCTTTATTGTCCTTATCTTTGAATGAAGACATTAGATATTTTACATTGCTTCTAAACTCCCGAAAATTATCCCAAAATAACACCAATAATCCAAAAAGCTTTTATATTTATAAATAAAATTTTTCGTTAACCATTCCATTATAAACAATTTCTTCATGATAAATGTCATCATTAAATGGAAATAATATTATTGAAGTTTGATTAAAGAATTTTGATAATTGTTGATAATTTTTTTGTAATCTTGGTAATTCTGATATTATTATTTTTAATAAGCTCATATTTGTTGTAGCATCCTTTTTAAAATATTTAAGACAGGAATCAAATAATTTTTCTAGAACTATACTATCATTTTTTTTTTTACATCTAGTGCTAACCTGAAAATTTTTTCTCCATATTTGAAATTATATAAATCGTCCAACATATATAAAATCATTTCTTTATAAGGGTGTCTGGAAATTTGATGTTTATCAATATATGAATGAATATTATATTCTTGAGCAATATCATTAAAATTAAATAAATAATCTTCAATATTATTCTTTTTTATAGCTGTTTTAATTTGTTCTAATGATTCTAATGAACTGATTTCTTTAATATACTTTGTAAATATTTTAGAACTTTTAATATTAAATGACAAAATGCATATATAGGTTCTTTGATCAAACATTGAGGATAGTTTTATTATTAAAATCAAATCATCATCACTTTAGTAATTGATAATATATAGACTGTTCCCCAGCCCGAAAGCCATATTCATCAATTGTTAGAAATTCTTCTTTTATTTCATTATCAATTTTTTGAGCTTTTATATTATTGAAAAGAAAGATATTTGCTATACTCTACTGACCATTTAATAGTTTTTCCTGTTTTAATATCAGATTCTTTTGGTTTTTCATAATCCTTGCCATTAAGTTTTTCATATATTTCACTTAATGTTTGTCCTATATATAAATATAAATGATACCTATTTTTTATACATATTTGTTGAACAGTGTCTGATTTTTCTTTGTTAATAATTTCTTTGATATAAATTTGATTGTTAATAACCATAACTATTTTATAATTGGATAAGGTTGGCCCAAATATGATATCATTTTTATCTTCATATGTATTTTCTACAGAGTTTTCTAAATTATAAGGATCCATTAATTTATAAATGTAATTATTTGTATTTATATGATATATTAATAATAAACCATAAAATCTAATTTTTTAACAGCGATATATTATTTTCCAATTCAACTGTAAGGTAAAAAATAAATAAATAAATAATCATGTATAAATAAACCAACCAACCAATCAACAAACAAAGCTAGATAATACTTACATGAAGAAATAATAATAATATATTTTATTGAATAAACTATTATTTTAAAATCATCTTTATAATGTAATACCATTATTGTTTTGTCTTGATTAAATGTTATACGAGTATGACATTTTTTATATAAATAACAATTATTTTGATATATTATAGTTGTTGGATTCCATAGTGATAATAATGAAAACTTATCATTCAATAGAAGATAATCAGAATTTACAAAATAACTTTTAGAACCGAATTTATCATCATAGTCATAAACGTGATATTGTGGTTTATAAACCAATTCATTATTTTCATTGGATGAATAAATACTTAAACCTAGTTGATTATCCGAATAATTGGTCATTCACCGAATATCCGTTAAATATTAAATTTATTTAAAAAGAAATTTTTTATTCCTCAGGAAAATATAATAAATTTTTATTCATCAAGATCAAGAAAATACAATTCTTTCAAATAATAATGGGTTCAATTTTGTTCGTTTGGCTGTCATTAAATAATGTAATAGTGATAAAATATTATTTACATTAATTATGTGGATAAAATTTTTTACTTTTTATATTCTGTACCACCGATTATTCACCAATGATTTGGTGAAAATTTTCAATACCCAATTAACCGGATAATTGGTGAATAATTGGTGAATATCATTCGGCGGATACAACCACTACTTAAACCATATCTTGTTGTTACACGATCATTATTTGCAACGAAGTTCCCATGTCCACCAAGACCTATTTCCTTTGTTTTTGAAAAGTCAATTAAGTC